CTTGAAAGTAACCTTCTGCCCAGCTACCCTTCGTTCCTGCGTCTTCTTCTTCTTCTCCGCCTCTTTCTTCTTCTTCCTCGTCTTCTTCTGCTGTTCCTTCTTTTCCTTTCATTCCTCCTCCTCCTCCTTCGCCGTCTTCTTCTTCTTCTTCGTCTTCTTCTTCTTCCTGTCTTCCTATCTTCGCCGGCCTGTCCTTTCGTCCCTGCACCCTGTCGCTGTCTAGGTGGTCGCGCACGCACGCATGTGCGCTACCGTCCTTCATCGGCTCGCCGAACGGCAGCGGCGAGGAACCAGGAGAGGGGAATCAGCTACACGGCGGGATGCGTGCACATCCACGGCCCCCATCGCGTACAAATTACTGAAAATTGGTCCACTTTTTAAGCGGGCCCGGCCACTTCGACACCGGATACCGGACCGGCTACCGTTCGAGATCTGTCCGCCGGTTGATCCTTTCCACTGATCCACTCTTCTCGCCTGATACCGTTCCTGACAGGCCGCCCCTCTCCCCCCGTGGACCCGGTCCACTCTTCTTGTTTGCGACCGGACACACTCGCCTGCTACCCGGTGAACCGGGAATGCGACGGTTTGCGCGGTCGCCTGACGAACGAGCGGACGGACGGACGTACGGACGGACGGACCACGGCTGCGGCTATCCTCGGTTTTTACGTTTTGCGGAATCATTTCGATGATCGCCGGCCAATTGAAATGTAGGGGAACACGGGTTGCGATGCGGGACTAATTGGCAGCCGGTGCCTCTAGGCCTCTGCGGTTTTAGTTAGTTGGTTCTTCGTATAGGGTGTTTGAAAAAAGGGGTTCAAGGTTTTTCGAGGCTACACCCAGGACCAACGATAAAACGAGCGGTTAAGCGGTTTTATTAAGCTCGAGCGGCGGACCTGGTCATATGGAAGTTAAATTGCTTGTTAGAGGTGGGTCTCTAGGTTCTCTAAACGGTTCTTAATACTTTTTCACCCCTTCGATGGGTGAACTGCGAACGACGGATCTATCCTGATCGAATGTATGCGTTTCGTTGTTTCGTGGTCTGGTGTAAGGTATTTCATTGGACTCCATGGGTCATTCTGTTTGCAAAATATTTATTTATTTCGACAACTTACTTTCCCCAGTTATTCGTTTCGTTCGTCGGTGTGCCGAACGTACAGGACACCGAAACGAATCTGACAGGTCTGAAATAAATCCTTACGCGTACGGTGGAGTTCGCGAACCTGCAGGTAGACTCTTTCCGCAGTGAAGCGTGGCGTGGACATTGATAAATCACCTTGCAACTTTGTTTGCGTCGATACGAGCACTTTGAATATTATCGTATGATTATTCAATGATTAGTTTCATGTTTTGTTCATGAGCGTTCCATTTACCCGTACGGCGAGTTGAATCCAAACGTTTCTTATAGACCGTTAAACTCGTGTCCCTCGTACTTTTTTCCAAATTTTTACCATCTGCCGATAAAAACCGGTGTCACATTAGCATTCCATTATGAAAAGCGTACCGTTTTAATTAACACTTATCCCGGGTAAAGAAGCAAATCAGATCGGTTCGCATTTATCGAAACATGTCAATCATTCTCAGCTGTCGTCGATTTTCCTTCAAGAACCCGATGCAACAAGAACAATCGTTAAGAAGATAAAACTCACCGTTTACCTCGAATCCTATATTCCCCCGCGATAAACATTCACTTTCAGTGTATCAACGTCAATTAACGATCTAGCCAGGAATCTCAAAGGAACGCTCACAATACGTTTCCTGGCGGGGCAAGCGGCTTAATACCTCGTCGACATAATTACCATTTCATCTTGCATAATTACGCGGAACTGTTACGCGATCCTCGGGCGAGCCCAAAAATATTCGTGTCACCCATACTCGCGCGCCGCGCGCGGCCCTCCATTACCTGTGACACCCGGACGCCTCCGCGCGCGCGACTTAACGACGCTTAACTAATTAACGTAAAATTCGATCGGTCATGGAACACGGGGCTCTCCCTCCTACTTCCCCTCCCTCCAGCCCACTCCTCTGCCATTTCTCCGCCGCTCCACGGTGCGGCGTGTACCGGTGGACACCGTACAACCTGTTACTCGGCGCTCTCTCTCTAACGGGGGAACCAGATATCACGGCCGCTATCTCGTTGAGCGCGGACCGGTGTTAAAGGTCGGCCGATTTCCACGGACAAATGAAGTTGGCCGGCCCGTGTACAACACCTGTAACCGGATCGTGTAACACCGGTCGCGGCGGTGCGCGGATCAAACGAGCTTTTCGCGACTCCTCGGTCAAACGTCTTCGCCCAATCAACCGACGAGTCCATCCCGGTCCGCTCGGAAACATAAATTTCGGCTTGTAGGGATCACCG